CAATACACAGAGCTTCTTTGCAAAGGGAGTGTGTGAGTTCTGCATGGTGGGGAAGGGCGGGCTCTGAGGAGAGTGCTGGGGGCTGGACCAACCAGTCAGAGCCTTTGTTCTGTTCTGTTCCAATCAGCTCTCCTGTTTACCTTCCATCCCGCCAATTTCTAGATTCCAATTGGATTGCTACTCTCTTCTCCCTTCTTCAGTCTGACAACATATTATATAGGTTGGGGCCCTTAGTTTCTTAAGAAGGGCAGCTTACCTTCTCAGCTAGATGTTGGGGGTTCTTTGTAGCTTCTCTCCATGAGGGATAGACCACTGGGATGGGGGAGGGGCTGATAGGCCAGAGGGGAAAAAAATCAGTGGAACCTGATTTTTCTGCCCCCCACTCCCTGTGCTGCTGGGTTTTGAACAAGCTTCCAGGGTGGAGGGTTTGACTGGCACTGCCTACCCTTTTGGCCAACTCCTGTGCTCCCTGTCATATACCAAGCAGCATCCTAGAGAACTTCTCCCAAGAGTCACATTTCTGGGATGAACTGGGATGAAAAATTGCCCTCCATTGGCAGGTGTCACCATTGAATTGGTGGTGGAAGGAAGGTATGGTTCTGAGAGGAAGAGAGACCCAGGAAAAGGAAGGACCCTTTTCTCTCTTTGCTCTGTTGCTGGAAACTGTTTTCACATGACCCACCTTGGCAGTTACCCAGGATGACTGTTGATCCCTCCCATTTTACAGTAGAGAAAACTCAAAACTGTTGCTCCAGAGTCACATTTGGAACTATGGCGGGGTCATTTGCAGCCCCTTTGCCTTCATGTTTGAGGCAGTACATATAAGGCTATTCAGGAGAGTCAACTGGTGTACTACAAAGGAGTCTTCTGGTATGCCCAAGCTGGGGCTTGAAGAGGACCAACCTCAGCCTTGTTGGTGGGTGGTACCGGATGATTTAACAACTTCAGGGTAACATCCAAGCCATAGTCACACTGGGTCACTGGCAAGTGTCATGTGTGCTGGTAAAACCGAGGATCACCCATCAATACCCAAATACCAGAAAATAAAAAATAAAAATAAATAAAATCCCCCTTTGAGGTCCAGAACGCCCTTGCTCATATGGGACTTACCAAGTTTCAGAGTTGTGTTCACAAGGAACAGATCTCCCCCGACAGGGTCAAGGCAGATGTGACCAAAGCTTGCTTCTGATCTGTTCTATCCAGACAAAAACATTCTGATGAGCTAAGGGTTAGGGGCTCAGCTGAGATAAGGGACACTCAGGGGGACTTACAGTGGTGGTGGTGGTGGGGGCTAAATGAATGGGACAGGTGCACCATATACAGAAACATGAGACATAAAGCTGGATCTGGAGGGGAGAGCCTGAAATGGTGGGACAACTGGCGTGCTGTCTGACATGCCCCAACAGAAGCAGCAGAAAGGAACAACGTTGACTTTTGGGAGAGTAACAGGACGAGAGCAAAGTACTCCTACCCCTCCACTGGTTGCTGCTTGCCTTGTGCGGGTGCTGAGGAGGGGAGAAGCAAGGGATGCTGAGCAAGGTGGAGGCTTGTCTTCTGTAGAGTATGACTGTGGGCTCTTGCAGACAGCAGTGCCTCAGTTTCTCCCTTTGTCTCAAGGTTTTGAGCTTTGCAGGTAAAGTTTGAGTTAAGCTGCCCTGGAAGATCGCCTGTCTTCATTTGAGCAGGGTGTGTGTGAGAGGAAGAGAGGGGGTGAGCCGAGTGTGCTTGAGCATGGGAGGAATTGGGCCATGCCCCAGGACTTGAGCCATCTCTGGCACAAAAGGAGTTAATGGCAGGGACCGCGCCCCCCGTGTCCGGGCACGCGCAGCGCGCCCCCTCTGTGCGCGGGCACAGCAGCCAGGCTGCCGGAGAGCAGATCTCGGGGATTCAGGTGCGGAGCCCTTGGCCTGGAGGCGATATGGGTGGTCCGCGGCCCGGTTCAGTCGCTCGCAACAGCCCGGGGAACAGGTGAGGCCGCCTGCCCCGGTCTCTCATCCTCCAGCTGCTCATTCCTTGCTCCGATCCTATCCCCTCCCAATCCCGGGCTCCTCCACTCCCCAGCCAATGCTCCCCATCCTTCTCAACCCCCATGTTCTCCATCGGCACCCCTGACCCTCCAATACTCCTCCGCTTTGCTTCTCTCCTCCGCCTCCTCCCTGAATCCCGCATCCCTACCATCGTCCCACCCGTGGTCCCTCTATTTCCACAGCCTGGCTGCATGCTCATCATAATACCCCTACTAAGTGCCCCCAGCCCTATTCCTGTATAGAACATTGCCAGTCCCCCCTCCCCCGCAGTGCAGCCCCATCCTTTTTCCATCATAGCATCTCACAGCCAGGCTCCCTCCCCCACTCTCTGCAGCCCCCTCCCCCCAGACCTTTATCCTATCCTCCCCCATTCCAATGCAGCTTTGTCCCCCAATACCATTCCGAACCCGTGTAGCCCCCAATACTGCAGTTCTCCATACCAGCCCATTCCTGCACAATGCCCCTTGCCCAATACTGCTCCAGCCCCCAAAGTACCCCAGATGCCACTCTAATCCCCAGCATTGCCGCCTCCCCTTGTCTTCTCCCAAATTGCAAGTTGGACCAGGATGGAGATCTCGGCCTTGGGGACTCACAGTGGGTCCTAGGGTACAGAGGGCGTTTGGGGGTCGGTGGATTTGTCTAGGTGTTCACGGGGGAGGGGCTGCAGGGAATTGACTCAGAGGGGACCAGTATTTGGCACTGAAGGGTTACTGGAGAGGGAGTCATCCCGAAGGGGTTAATGGAATTTGTGGGGAGGGGCAGCACCGAGGGGGTTAATGGTATGGGGGGGATGCTGGCGGGGAAGCCGTGTGAATGAGCGGTCTGTGCCCCAGAGTTGCCATGGAGACGGTGAATGGGGGGATTGTGTGAACTCAGCTGCGGACTATCCCCCCCATACACACACACACACACACACACACACACACACACACGCTCCCTTCTGCCCCACCTCCCTACTCCTACCCCTTCCTTCCCTTTCCCCTCCTCCCACCCCCCCCACCCAGGTGCATTCTGGGCAATGTCTGGGATCTAACCCCCGCCCCCCTACTTTGCTCCCCATTTCCTCTGAGCCCCCACCCCTTTAGTGGTTTTGCCCGCCTTCCCTCCTCCTCCTTCCCTCCCTCCTTTTCTTTCTCCTTCTCTCTCTCTAGCTCTCTTCCTCTCCCTCTACCTCTCTTGCCCTCCCTCTCCCTCCCTCCCTCTCTCTTCCTCTCTCCGTTTCTCCCTTTCTCGCTCGCTCTCTTACACACACACATTCTCATTCCCCTCTCGTTGTGGCCTAAGGCCGGGCGTTCCCAATCTCCCTCCCCCACCCCCTCAGCCAGTTCTTTTTTTTTTTTTTTTTTTTATTATAAATTAATTTTTATTGGTGTTCAATTTACCAACATACAGAATAACACCCAGTGCTCATCCCGTCAAGTGTCCCCCTCCGTGCCCGTCACCCAGTCACCCCCACCCCCCGCCCTCCTCCCCTTCCACCACCCCTAGTTCATTTCCCAGAGTTAAATCTTGGAAGGCGGGAGAAATAGGGAAAACTATACTGTATCTGTGTGCGTCTGTGTGTGTGTGTGTGTGTGTGCGCGCGCGCGCGCGCGCTCACGCAGGCTTGCACGCGTGTATGTCTCCATGCAGCAGTGTCTGTGTGCACCCATATGTATGTGCTGGCTGTATAACTGTATGTTAGAAAGCCCGTGTGTCTTGAGTGTGCTATTTCTGTTTCTGTCTCCACCTTTGTGTCACCATTATGCTGTATGTGTCTCTGGATATTTACCTATGTGGTATGTGTGTGATTATATTTCAGTGAGTCCCTGTGTGTGTCTCTGAATGTATTTCTCTGTGATTCTCTGGCTCTGTGAGGCTCTCTGTCTCAGGATATGCAACGATATGAGGGATCACTGTGGGTTTGGAATATATGTCTGTGGGAGTGAATATCGCAGTGTCTGTGATCCTGGCTTGGTCTCTCGCACTCCCTTTTGAGTCTTTGTGACTTTATTTCCATAGGTCTCTGGGTGTGTGTCCCCCACACCCCGTTGTTTATTTTACACTGGCTGAGTATTAACAATGCCTAGGGTGCTAGGCGGAAGGAGGACTGAAGGAGGACTACGGTCTCTGCCTCAGTTCTGGCACTTGGTGTGAATTAGAGATATCCCACAGAAAGGACCAAGGCTTAAGAATTGGGAGCAGGGCTGAGGAGCAATGTACAGGGGCACAGGAGGGTCTGGGGACTCTGGTGAGTGGCCATCCTGCTACCCCTCCACCCCACTGCCTGCCCTGGTTGCTGGTGAGGGGGTCTCTACGTGGGATGCTATGCCTATCTGCCAGTTTTTCCTATTTCTGACTTAGAACCCCTGAACGAAGTTAACAATCCTACCCTTTTCTGGTGTGGAAGGTCCCCGTGTGGAGTAACTGGGGCCAGGGGTCTAGAGAGTTCGCTCTGGAACCTGAGCCCCCCTTCCAGTGTTCCCCGCCCCCTGCTTCCACAGGCTACTCTGGGTCTGGCTGACCCCAATGAGCTCCACTGGCTGAGGAGTTGGAACTGGGGACTGGAAACTTGCAGTGGCAGCAACTGTCACTGTGTCAATCCCCTAGGATCTTCTGGGCCGCAGCAAGGCACACAGACTGCTTCTGATGGGCAACAGAGATCATCTGTGGGCCCCTGGAATGCCAGGCCGCCAGGCCAGGCATGGGAAAACTCTCCTCACTGTGGGATGACAGCCCAAGCCCAGCTGGGGGAGGGGGGCAAAGAAGCAACTCCCCCTAGCCCTCCTCCCAGACCATGTCAGGTGACGCATGCTTCCCTCTCTCCACAGGCCTGTCTGGCCCTGAGGGAGTCCCTTTCTGAAGCTGTGGTGCTTGGACAACCTCTCTGCATTGCTGGGGCACCTGTAGGTGTCCCCCGAGAGCTCAGTCTTGAGGTTCAAGTCAGTGTGGCCATGAAGGGGCTGCCTGTTGGGCTGATGCTGTGACCCCGGAGTCTGCCTTTCCTGCCGGTCCCCCTGCCCGGAACATGTGGCTGCGGCTTGGCCTGCGCTCGCTGTTCCTGAGCCCCGAATCCACGGTTGGCCAGAGCCTGTACCTCACCCTGTGGTTCCTCAGCTTGGTGCTGAGGGCCAGTACCCAGGCCCCAGCGCCCACAGTCAACACCCACTTTGGGAAGCTGAGGGGTGCCCGGGTACCCTTGCCCAGTGAGATCCTGGGGCCTGTGGATCAGTACCTGGGGGTGCCCTACGCAGCTCCCCCCATCGGCGAGAAACGTTTCCTGCCCCCTGAGCCACCCCCCTCCTGGTCGGGCATCCGGAACGCCACACACTTTCCCCCAGTGTGCCCCCAGAACATCCACACGGCTGTGCCCGAAGTCATGCTGCCTGTCTGGTTCACTGCCAACTTGGATATTGTCGCTACTTACATCCAGGAGCCCAATGAAGACTGCCTCTACCTGAATGTCTATGTGCCCACAGAGGATGGTGAGTGCTGCGGCCAGGCACTGTGCCTTCCCTGCTTCCCGCCCGCCCTGTTGTGTTTGTGGCTCGCATGTGGTTGTGTGTGCCCTGCAGCATGCATCTGTCCGTTGTCTATGAAGATGCTTCTAACCATCACTCAGCTTGGCCTCCCCATTCTTCCCTCCCCCAGCATTGTCTGAGCTCCCATGTGTGAGTGACACTGTTACCAGGAGGAGCCTGGCCAGGCCTGAGAGCTTTGATGGATCTAGGGCCTGAGTGCTGGACGGGGGTTCCCTGGGGGAATATGGGTCACTGCTGGCAGCTGCCCAGGATGCTGGCTCCACCAGGCCCCCCTGTTGCCATTCCACCTGTTTTGAAAGGTGGTAGGTGTGTGTGCCGAGGGAGCCGGGTGCGTGTGGGGGGCGGGGGGGGGTCGGCCTGGTGGGCATCACTTAGATGCCTCCTCTTTGGCTAGCTGATGCCTCCTCCCGCGGGGGTCACACTCAGGTAAGTGACAGAAACAAGGAGATGGTGGGACAGGCTCTCTGCCATGTGCCGCCTGCAGAGCAGCTCTTGGGGCCTGGGGGGATGGGGGTGCATGCCCCTGAGCAGAGGCCTCCTGTTATTTTTTAGTTTTTTATTCATTTTACAGTAAAGCGGATTTCCAAGGAATGCGCCCGAAAGCCCAACAAGAAAATTTGTAGGAAAGGAGGTAGGTAGCGAGCCGGCGGGGAGGGAGAGAGAGAGAGAGGGAGGGCTGCCTGCCCACCTGCCCTTGCCCCTGAGGACCCAGCCTTCCTTCAAGTAGCCCAGGCTCAGGGGATGGTCGGTGAGCAGGCCTGAGCTCCACCATAGCCAAGGGCCTTGGCTGCTTTGCAGGGAGGATTTGGTGGCCTAAGGCGGTTCAGAGCAGAAGCAGCAACCCCGTTTCTTCCAAATTCCACACTAACGCATGTGCCGAAGACAGAGCCAGTGGTTTTCTCTGAGCCACCTCAGTGGAGGGGGGTGGAGGTGGGGGACTCTAGACAGCCAAGTTGGAGCCAAAGGCCTCTGCCCTTTTTCCAGCAGGGAGCCACTGCTTCATCCCTATGTACTCTTTCCTGAGTGCAAAGTCTAGACTCAACTTTCCAGCCTTGAAGTTTAGACCAAAGTCACCCTTGACTCCACCTCTGGCCACAGCATAGCTGAGTGCCCCAGGCTGGTCTGGTGGCTAGATCTTGGGGGTCTCTGGGAACTATGGACTCTAAAGGAGGCATGAGATCCTGCATTTTACATTTACCCTCTTGCTGGGAGGTGTCTGTTCTCCTTGCAGAAATAATTCTTCCTGTTCAAATACCACATCATGTTTTCTGCAAAGCACTTTTCATACTTAGCTCGTAAAATCCTCCCCATGTCTCTGGAAGCTTGTAAAGCAGGAATCAGTTTCCCAATTTTACGGATGAGGAAACAGGCCCAGGGGAGTGACTTGCTGCTGCTCAAGGCCCTGTGTTGGTCGGTGGCAGAACTGGGGCCAAAACCCGGGTCTCTTGACCCTCAGGGCGGTGTTCTTTCCACTGTAGCAGGCAAGGCTCCCATCTGGTCATTCCCACCTCCCCAACTCTGCAAACAATGGTGAAATGTGGATGGGCTGGGCCAAATTGGAAATAGTACCAGCTTAAGGAATAGGTGAAAAGTCACAGCCTGATCCCTACAACCTTTTGGCAAGATTGGGGTTTGTTTTCCTTTGTAATCCTAGGGCAGGCTTTCCCTGAGTTGGGGTTGTCAGGATTTCCTGGCCAGATGGATGCTCCCTGCTGAGCAAGAATCTCTAGGGGACACATTCCCAAAATCCACATGTTGAGTGTGTGTGTGTGTGTGTGTGTGTGTGTGTGTGTGCTGAGTGTTGTTGATGCACCTGGAAGCACCCAGGGGGGCCTGCGGCTCTAGGGACAGTGTGAGGTCCCACACTCAGCCTAGGACTTCACATCCTGTAGGCGAGCAGCAAACACTTGTCCCACAAGAGTGGCATTGCAGAAAGAGTATGGGTCTGGGAACCCCAAAGCCTGAAAGTCCCACCTCTCTTCTGCTCACAGTGAGACAGACTTTAGGCAAGCCCCCTGACACACACACACACAAAAGGACTTCCACTTTGGCCTCTGAAGGTGGTAGGGGGACCATTCCAGCCTTGACATTCCATTAGCCTGTGAATGAATTCAGGAAGAAAGTCTCTTAAGCCTGCTCCTGTGGGTTACTTGCTTGAAGGGTGTGGGGGTGTGCTGCGGGGAGAGAGGATGACTAGACGGTAACTCTTCCTAGGAGGAATCATCTCCCCAGGGTGCCAGTGAGAGCCCAGGGGAGTCCAGTCCTCAGAGTTTGGCTAGAGAGCTGACTGGAAGCTCCCCTCAACTGCAAACATTTGCCTATCAGGATCAGTGACTGTGGGCAAGGCCATGTGCTAGGCACTGTGTGCTAGGCAGGGCTGTTGGAGGGGTATGAGGTAAAGGCACAATTCAGGAATAATGGATAAAGTCTTCATTGCTACTCTGATGAAGCTCCTGTCCTAGGATTGAAACTAAGCTGGTTCAGCTGAGCCCCACAGGCCAAGTTGGGAAGTGAGTTCCAGACAGCGTGCAGGGAGGGTATTTGGTAATTTCGAGGCATGGCTCAAATTAGTTCCCTATCCAGGGCCGGATGGCCATTCAGAATGGAATTTCTGACCCCACTTCAGGGGGGAGAGATATCCCCTCCGCAGCGGTTGTTAGGATTGTGGTGTGCATAGGGTAGGCCTGGTCCAGACGGACCCTGCAGCAGCACAGTGTGGGGACCAGGGATGGTGGTTGCGCTGGAAGGAGCAAAGGCATCTGCACAGAAGAGGTCACAGATGAGGCCGGGACAACGCAGCAACCCAGGGATGCTCCTGGTGGGGCAGCAGGGGAACAGAGAGTGTGTGTGCAATAGGGACCCACTTTCTAAGTCAGTGCCCTTGGGAAGTGAGGGATTTCCGGGGGAGGATCTGCCCCCTCTCCCCACTTCCACTCCATCAAGTTGGAGGGAATGCATGTTTTGGATGAGTACTTCCCTTCCTCCGGGGGGGGGGGCTGTCCATTGTGCCAGCCACGATACCATAGGCCCCACGGCATTTCCAAGGGCAGTACTGGCAGGTGTTAAGACGGTAGGTGCCACTGGTGGTTCGGGAAGCTAGAGGCCATTCCTGCCCCTGGTGGTTCGGGAAGCTAGAGGCCATTCCTGCCCCTCTGGCCCAGCTCTTGGCCTAGTTGAAAAGCCATTTTGTAATATGAGGGAGGCTCCTGTTTTGATTAGTAGCTGTAAGGGAATTTAGTCACCAGTGACTAGACCAGCTGGGAAAGGGGACTATTTGCTGCCTCCAGGCTGAGAGTATCTGGTGTCACAGAGTAGAGGGTAAGCCCTGGGGTACTGGTGGAATGACCTCTGTCTCCCCACTCTGCCCAGCATCCAGGCAGCAGGTCCTCTTTCTCCACAGCCATACCCAAGATGCACCTATCATCTCCTTAGAACAGGAAAGAGAATTGGTGCCAGCTTACCCACAGGTCCTCAATGTCTCTCTTCTCTCCTCTGGGTCCCTTCTTTTCTCTCCTCCCCCCCTTCCTCTCTCCCTCCACCCCACGCTCCACTTTTTTTCTCGCTGATTCTTTCCTTCCCTTTCCCCCATCCTAGAAAGGTGGTATGGTGCAGTGGAAAGACCATGGGCTTTGCAGTTGAGCAGGCCTGGGTTTGAATCTTACCTCTAGTGCTTCCTGGCTGTGTGATCTTGAGCAAGTCACTTTACCTCTCTGAACCTCAGTTTCCCCATTGGTGAAACAGGAATAGAGACAGTACTTACCTCATTGGGGTGTAAGGATCAAACAATATGGCAGCAGTAGAGTGTCTGGCACATGGTAAATATTCGGTATATGGTAGGAGCTGTTATTATTTCTCTGTCTACCCCCCTCTCTCTGTCTCTGTCTCTCTCTCTCTCTCTCTCCATCTCTCTCACGTCCCTCTTTCCTCCTCCCCTTCCTCTTTTCCCTCCCTCCCTCTCTAGCTCTCTCTAGATCTCCAGGCAGTGCTTGCTGCTCTTAGGCCTGGTTCCTGGGAGCAAGAACCCCATTTGCCATTAGCCAGAGCAGGGGGCCCCAACGAGGAAGACCAGAGGCAAAGCTTTATCTCTTATTTTCTCCTCTGGGAATCAGGGTCAGCTGAGGCCCCGCATGAGCCTTCCTACTGGGCCCAGGTAGCTCAGGGCTGGGGGTCCCAGTCCCCATCTCTGCCCTAATAGCTCACTTCCATATCCAACATTCTGGCAGTGCCACCTGTCACCCTCGGTGGCTGCCCCTGCTCTCCAGCTCAGCCTACCAGTGTCCACATTTGCAGCCCCCTTCCACCTGGGAGCAATCCTGTCCTTGCATGGGCCTCTGGCTCTCTGCCCTGGCCCGTATGCTGCTCCCTCCGGGAAGGTAGCTGATTGAGAGGGGCTGTTGGGGACAGGGAAGCAGGGCAGGGAGGTGCAGGGAAGCCAGCACAGCAGGGGCCTGCAACACCATCATCCTGATGAAGGTCTGGGCCTCAGCCCACCCATTCCCTTGGTTCTTGCCATCCCTCCTGCCTGTCCTGGGCCCAAGCCCAGAGCTGGCTTGCTGGGCCACACTGCAGTCATGCTGTTTTTGAATTCTCTCTCTGTTTTGTTCTCTGTTCTGTGCTGTTGTGTCTCCCCGTGTCTGGTCCCCAGGATCCGGCGCTAAGAAACAGGGCGAGGACTTAGCGGATAATGACGGGGATGAAGATGAAGGTATTTGGGGGCTGCAGGGCGCGGCGGCTGGTGCATGGCACAGAGCCCCTCCCCCTCTCGATGGGGAGAAGCCCCGTCTGTCTGTCTGTCCGTCCATTGGTGTGTTTCTGTTCCTATACAAGGCTGTTGGGCTGTTCATCCATCTTTGGCCTGGTTGGCCACTGGGCGTTCCAGGGTGATGGACACAGCTGGTGGAAGCAGGAGACCACGAGCAGAGCCAGGGGGCAGGCCTCCTCCTCGCCCCAGTCCCCTACCCCCATCCTCTGCCCTCCAGTAGCAGCGGGCACTGACAGAGACAGCTTCCTCCCCCGTCTTCTGTGGTTCACGGGCACCTGCCCCTACTGATCGGCAGGGAGAATGGAGAGAAGGCAGAGCAGAGGGAAGGCTGGGAAAGGCATGAAGGGAACTGGATGATGAGGACATACCTGTGTTTCACTGGCAGAGGAGACACTTGTGTTTTGCGGGGAGACTGGCTCCTGGGAGAGGGGCCTGGCAGGATATTGAACGAAGGAGTGAGGCAGTGACAACCCAAGGGGCTGGAGATTAGCACCACTTAGAACCTCCCCAGCCCCCTCCCAGAAAGAGAGACCTGTCCTCGGGGTCAGGGGCCACAATAGGCTCAGGACAGGGGCAGAAAGGCTGTGGGCTAAAATGCTGAGGCCAGAACGCCACAGCCCAGTCCATAGATGGTATAAGATCCTCGTGTGATGCTTGAACCAGTCTTCCTTCTTCCTTGGGAAAACAAGTTGTGTTTGCTTGGCAACAGAAAGCATTCCCTTTTACCTCCTTGCCCTGGCCCTGCCCCTCCACCCCTGGAGGTGCCAAACAGCTCAGGGGGACCCCCTCCCCCCCCACCCCTTGCTGGTGGCTGGTAGGGCTTTGCTGGTGAGGCAGAGTGGTGGTCCAGCTCACACACTGAGAGGCTGCAGGTAGAGGTGGTCAGGCCGGGAGCCTTCTCTTGACTGCCCAGCTCCAATGCCACTGTACTGCCTGGGCTTGGGAGCAGCCGCTTGGAGGTCTCTCAATGAATGGCCTTTGGGAAGGCTCCATCTTCATCTTAATGCTGACTGGGGTGGGGGTGGGGGATGGCGAGGCAGGGGTCTCTCTCATTCTTAGTTCGGCCTCCTCCTCTCCTCTTCCCCATCCCCAGTGCTTCCAGTTAAGTCTGCCTGATGCCCAGGGAGAATGGGGTAACTGGGCACATGGCTGAGAAACCATGTCACTTAAGGTCCCCCACACCCCGTCTCTGCCATTCACTCCCTTTTACCCACAACCTTCCTTGTTCTCTCCCTGTGCCACCCCTTACTCTCACCCCTCTTGTCTCTGTCTGCACTGGGGGGGCCAGCTGCTGCCAGTGGCCGTATTTCCATGTAACTGGTCTAGTCTTGGGGGTTTCAGGGCTCCCCAGCCCCTGCTCTCTGAAGCCATGTCAGGTCCCAGGACTCCTGGGTGCCCCGGGGCAGGGACTCACTTGATCCAGCTCAGGAGACCAGGCCTTCCTCTTCCTCCCGCTCCCTGCCCAACAGGTGTGGCTGACTGCCTTCAGCTGGGAGGCTGAAACCAGAGTCTTTAAAAACGGCGCTGAAGTCCTCTGGCCAAGTCTCTGGCCCACACTTGAGTCCAGGCTGAGCAGCCCCATGAGTCCTGCCCTCAGAGCTGGTGGTGGTGTCCTGGCACCTGGGATAGCTTTGCTGCCCACAACCCATCCCCCGCCCCGGCCAGGGCTGGTGGGGGTGGGGGAGGAAGGGCATCCTACCCAGCCTGTGTCTCACCCCTTCTCCTTGCAGACATCCGGGACAGTGGTGCTAAGCCCGTCATGGTCTACATCCATGGAGGCTCTTACATGGAAGGGACGGGCAACATGATTGATGGCAGTGTCCTGGCCAGTTACGGCAACGTCATCGTCATCACCCTCAACTATCGGGTTGGGGTACTAGGTATGGTTCCCTACTAGGTGCCTAGAAGGAAGACTGAGTCCTTATGGAAGGAGGAAAGAATGCTGGGGATTTAATGCTGGCCTTGGTTCTCAGCGGATGCCAATGACTGTAGTCAAATGCCATTTGTTATCACACAGTCCCTACCCAAGTGCTGGGAGCTTCCCCGTGTCCCCAGGCCCTTTCCTGGAATGTTTAGCTGCCATTGGAAACTCAGTTCAAACTCCACACCTTCTGTTAAGTTTCAAGCCAAGTCACTGCTTTCAGATTTTCGCTTAGCTGAGTTTCGCAGGGTCCATTAATTTTCTAGTGTCATTCCCCTATCACTACCCTCCCAGGCCCACATCCCTAAAAACCCCACACATACACAGATACTCCTTCTAACCTGTCACATATCCATATGCTCACATACCCTCACATGGCCACACATCCATGCTGCCCATGCATACGATTATTTCTCACCCCACAAATACACACATATACCCATACACATATAGAACCCCCCAAAATCCACATCTACAAACTGCGTCTCACATATGCACATTCCCCACCACTCTATAAACACTCCACACAGTTTTCCCCCCACACATATCCACATACTATATACCTCTGTACACTCAACATCTGTACCCCATATGTACACAGATTTCTTGCACTGCCCCCATTCCCATATATCTCGCCCCTCTACATCTCTATAGCCACGGCTACACCCATACACATTACACATACCCACATTCACACTTTCTTCTACCCCCATGTGTACACTCCACACAAAGACCCATACGTGTAGACCTTAAATGTACATAAATATTCCTTCCATGCATGCACACACATAACCATATCCCCCTGCACACCTCACTTCCTCATTCACTCCAACACCCACATACACACATATGTCCCTCACCTTCCCCATGTAAACACAAGCCAATATTCCCCCACCCTATGCATATGTATCCATATTCGCATGTCCACATCTCCCCACCCAATACATACACAAATACTACACACACACCCCTCATATCCCTGCTTCCACGTCTACAATATGTGTCCCATGCACCACACTTACATATCTCTCCACCGTATGCACATACCCATGGACCTCCTACACATATACCCACAATCCCACATATATGTGCACACATGGACACTCCTCCCAACCAGAGCTTGCATACATGCAGAATGCATATGTACATAGCCCCCCAGCCAACAAACACATAAACATCCATATATCCCTGCTTGACCTCCAGATCCATCCATGCACATACCTCTACATTTGTACATACCCCACACTTACCCCATATATATATACACATGTACAAATTTCCACTACTCTCTCTGTGCCTATATCCCCATATCCTCCCACCTCATTACACAAATGCACTCCCACACATACATGCTTACTTCTCAAATGCTTCATCATATATACCTAGCTGCCCTTCCCTACACATCCTCTCTCATCTGCCCACTTATTTTTGTGATGTAGGCTGCGCCTCTGTGTTGTCTCTTCCTGGATGACTAGGACTGCCTATTTGTGGCCAGGGTCCTGAGGTAAACAAGTACCTCAGAGAGGGTGACTCAACATACAGGGTCTTGCTCCCTTTCAGACACTCACCCAGGCCTCCGAGGGCACATGCAGCCATATGGCCCCGTAAGGACATGAAGAAGATAACTTGTCCAAAGAGCTTGTGTCTTCTAAGTTCCAGTGGGCGGGGAGAGGGTGGCTATGCCATGCATCAGGGCTGGAGGCCTAAATTCTGGACCAGCAGCCACTTGGCCACTTGGCTGACAGGACCTTATTTTAATTTGCTTTTGAGTGTATTGTTTTTGCCAGCTCTAATTCCAAAGACCCTGGTACTGCATGTCACTTCTGGTGCCATTTATGAATACAGAAAGGCAATCTTTTCTTGACTTACCGTTATTACTCGGTGGGCCAGCAAGACATGTCTTGGGGGTTCAGGCTGGAGAAATGATATTCCGTGAAAACAGCAGAGCCCATGTCCCTTCAATGGCATCTGGATCTCAGGGATGAAGTGCGCAAGACATCTGGTGGGCTTGGGTCTGATGGTTTGGCCGCTGCTCCTCTATCTTTCCAAGTTGCCCCAGACCTCCCAGCGAGGCTCTCTTGAGGGTTCTGTCCTGTTGAGAAAGTGGACCTGAGTCTCTGACAGTGAAGGGGAGGTGAAGGGGGCCTTAAATCCATAAGCTAGCTGCACAGTTCCTGGAGAGTCAGGAATATCCACAAGTAAGCTCACACAGACACCCAGCCACACATACACAGTAGTTGAAGGCCAGAAGGAATTTTGCGACCTTATTTTGTTAGTGAGAGTGACATGGCTGCTTTAAAAAATGAGACATACCAAGCTCCATTCTGTTGGTTTTATTGGAAAGCACTAGAGAGTACTAAGAATGCACTTTGGTTTTCAATGATTGGACCAGCTAGGGATGCAGGAAAAGAAAGAGTGGAGGAGCGGGGAGGGGGGGGAAGAGGGGAGAAAGTGAGAAGAGAAGAGGAGATGGGATGGAGAGAGTCAGGATGAGAAGCATCACTGTGAGAGCTGTGGGTTCCATAGAGGCTCTTGCCAGGGAGTGCTCACTATGGCATCCTGGTTTGCTGAGTACTTGATAACCTTCCGCTTCTCTAATCTTTAAGTTTCTCCATCAGAAGTTTCTGACCTTTGGGAGAGTCTTGGACCCCTTTGAGATTCTAATAAAAGCTATGGACTCTCCCCCAGTAAAATGGACACACACACACTCAAGAGGTTATAGAAATGGTTCCGTGGTCACCACCAAAACTCATTCAGGGAGCTCAGGTTAGAAACTGCCCCCATCCCCCTCCTTTTATAGCCTCCTCTCATTTGGATAACCAGCACAGCACATCTAGGAGCAGGAATATTATTATTTGGGCCTCAGATGTTAATGATCGACATATTGCCCAAACCTCAGAAGGAGTCATAACCTGAGATTTGGTCAGAAGTTCCCCCACCACTTCCTATGTCTCCTTCACTGCCTGCTCTACAACACAAATGTAACCAATAAGCCACTGATTGGATTCTGGGTCCATGCAAGATGTTTTTGTCTCTTGGTGCCAGATGTAGAACGTAGATCTGTCCCTGACACTTGGGGCTTTTGCCGTGTTGCCGACACTTTGTTGTTTTGTGTCTTCAAGCATCCCAGATCAGGCGGCCAGTTTGGGGCCCCAGTTGCATGCACATTCACCCTCCCTTCAGCTTCTCTGGAAGCACTGAGCCCAGAAAGATGACCTACTCTGAGGTGCTTCTTTGGACATCTTGGGTGATTCATTTATTTGGAGAATGTCACAGGCCAGTCCATGGATCCCATCTTATTATTTGAGGAGCATCCCCCAAAACACACTGAGCTGGAGACCATCCAAAGAAAGGGACCACAGCAGGATCCCAGATGTAGATATCCCTGGGGCTGAGGAAGTAGGGGCTTGCCAGATTTTTATTCTGGGTTCCAGAATCTATCCTACGTCTTTGCTCTGGTACCCTTCAGACAAACCAAAAACCTGGTAAATGTTAAGCCTTGAGTGAGAGATCTGTGGTTTGGGGACAGTGTGCCAAACTCCCTCGTCTTCTGTTGATGGGCACCTTATGTAGATGGCAGTATAGACCTGGGTCCAGGGAGACTCTCAGATTTCTTCTGACAGTTTACGGAGTTAGGCAGTTCAGCTCTCAGTGTCATGTGGTTTCTGTGGATGGCTGAGTTACTGGGGAACTAGCAGCAAATGACTGCTCTACTGCACTGCCAGGTTTCTGTGTGCTCACGGTCGGTCACATTTGCTGGATCATGTGCCCAAGCCTGTTGAATATGGCACTTCACACAGGACTCTTGTAGTAGGGGATGGTTGACAGGGCATCATCCGCATGCTTCAGCGCCTCTCATCCCAAGATCGGTGGGAGCTCGGGGAGCTACAAGTGACAGTTGACTCCTCCAACCAGCCCTTTCAGGCCTTTGCTCCTAACCGGGGGAATCCAGACACATTGGAGAAATCTCCCCTACTACATCTGGGCACAGGCTCCTCCTGCTGATGGGACAGACGCACTGATACATTGCCCCTGCTGCTACCTTGGCTCGAGGCTGAAGCCCGGGCCACTCTGGCTTCCATAAGAGAAAAGGGAAAGAAAATATGGAGGAGGGAGAAAGGAAGAGAGAGGGGACAGGAGGGCTGGGGGAAGCACATAGTGGTTTTTGCCGGAGGGTCTCGGGCTTGGACAGCTGGGTTGGATCTTGGTCAGCAGACTTTTGAAGACTTGCAGCACCGGCTTCAATGTGTGAATGGGCCCGGCAGAGGAGAAGCTGGTTCCCTTGTCTGGAGGAACAAGGGCTCCTCCGTTCATCCTCATTCAGGCTTTCTCTAATTCCTTCACATTTCCTCGCCTAAAGAGGGCTTGTGATTGAGTCTTGAGAGGAATAACTAAGTACTTTACATATGTAACTGCACCAAATGTAAATTAATAACACCCTTGAAGAGGGTGAAACCCTTTTCTTTCACGGAAGCTAGAAGCAGAAGGACCTGAGAAAGACAGGGATGAGGTCTTGGGCCTGCTGGAGTCTGTTCGATTCCAGCCTCTGCCCATGGGCTGCCAGGACTGCCTGAGAGCTCTCCGTGAGCTCAGGGCACCCAGACATGGCCTTGCAAAAACTTGATCCCAGGTGCTGTGAGCGAGCTAGTAAACATGGAGTCAAAATAGACCGATCTAGGTGTGGGTTTCCAAGGTGCAAGAGCGCCATGACTCCCACCTGGAAAGGACCCTTCCAAAAGCCTAGGGCAGGACAAGATAGAGCCCTTCCATGGAGCCTAGAGATCAAGGACGAGAGATGAAACGAGGCAGCGTGATCAGTCTGAAATGGAAGCAGGGTGTGTGTGTGGTGGGGGAGGAATATAGGACATCTCTGTGGGATAGCCAGCAGGTGGGCGGGAAGGTAGTCTCCATGGTAGCAAGTCTCCACAGCAGCAAATCCCAGCAGGTGGGCGGGAAGGTAGTCTCCATGGTGACATGTCTCCTCAGCAGCAAATCCTGGTGGGTGGGCGGGCAGACCTGTTTCTCTGGTAACACACTGCACTGACTTCCCCATTTCTCCACCAGATGAAAAAGATGGTCTAACCCAGTGGTTTTCTAACTTTAGCAAGCACCACATCACCTGAAGAGCTTGTTAAACACACAGATTGCGGGGCCTCCTCCCCAGAGTTTCTGATTCATTAGGTCTTGGAGGAAGGGAAATGAGAACCGGCCCTGAGAATGAAAGGTAGGGGCCACTCGAGGCCCTGGAATGAGGTGTAGATGGGCTCATTTGCAGGAGAAGGGCAAGCAGAGCCTAGGGATTGTTGCCTCTTGGGATCCTCACTTCCCTCAGAGAGAGGAGGAAGGGGAGAGAGAAGTAATTATAGACTTAGAGAGTGCGGTGCATATTAGAGATGCTTATGTTCATTTTACCCTGACTACAACCCTTTGAAGTATTTTTATATTCATTTTACAGAAGAGGAAACTATAGCCCAGATATTTTAAATAACTGGCCCAAGGCTATGTGACTAGTAAGAGGTAGAGTCAGGACTCGAACCAAGGACCATCTGACTCCAGAGTCCCTGCCCATTCCACTCTGTCTTGCCAGGGGCTAGGGTAATGTCCCGGATAGCACATCAGGGGCCTGGCCATTTGCAGTTCCTGCAGCTTAAGTCTCCTAGCTGGAGGGTCCCCCTTGAATAGTCTGGAGACCCCTTCCTCCAAACTGGAGAATGGGTGGGTGGCAAGGAATTGATCCTTCCTATATTGATGGTGCTGGAGTTTGCAGAAAGGAGCTATGGTACAGGGTAGCCAGGTGGAAAGAACCACACTGCATGCCCATCCTCTGTCCTCATGCCCTCCACCCCCACCGCCATCCCCAGTCTCCTGCCTGCCATTATAACCCAAATCTCCCATCCCTCTACCTTCACTGTCCTCATGCCCTTTGTTGAATCCAGGTTTCCTGAGCACCGGTGATCAGGCTGCCAAGGGCAACTATGGGCTCCTTGACCAAATCCAGGCCCTCCGCTGGGTGAGCGAGAACATTGCCTTCTTTGGTGGTGATCCCCGCCGTATCACTGTCTTTGGCTCAGGCATCGGTGCATCCTGTGTTAGCCTCCTCACTCTGTCGCATCACTCAGAGGGTGAGTAGCATTTGGGGCAAAACGTGAGCTAGCAAAGTGTCAGCTGCCCACCCTGAGCCTCAGGTCCCCCATCTCCCCACCCCAAGCTCCAGAGTGTCCAGGGAACCAGCTAGCCCTCTTCTAACAGCTTTGCATCCCTTTGGGGAGAAGTGGAATGGGAATTTTCCCCTAGGAGAAGAAGTAATTCTCCCCTTGTGAGAGAGGGAAAAAGAGAATCCCGTTTATATCTTGAGAAAGCAAGATGCTCCTTCTGTCATGATGGAAGTTGGATTTGGTTGAGTGGGAGTAGAATGTGTCTCTGAAGGGACAGTGGAGGGTTTTTGGGGGCAGGGCAACTCTTTCAGTTTGGGAAGGACATGTGACTTCAGGGTAGAGATCTAGGGTGGGAATTAGTTTTTAGGTATAAGAAACACTCATTCTTTGCCTTTCTCTCTAAAGAACAAGTCTGTACAGGAGGGAAACTGTCCTTAAGTGGGGAGATGGGTCTGAACAGTGAGGATCACTAACCTGTGGGGTAGGCTTTTTTCTGAGGGGCAGCCATCTGGTAGCCCACACCAGACTTCCTCCCTATACAACCCCTAAGGGAAGACTCTCATTTTTAGCCCAGACAAAAGCCTCTCTCCTTGCCATGGGTCCCTCTGCCAGTGACTCTTTAAGGGAGCTGAACAGGCCCCTTTTTTGGCATAGCAGGCAAAGTTCTCTTCACCTCTGGGCTCTAGAGCACATTCTGTCTCTGAGAGGCATAGATGAGCTTCTCACAAAGAAGAGATCTTCCTGTAATAGGTGCCCTTCTCCGAAGTAAGGAAATCTGTGAGAGAGGACAAGGTAGTTTTGCTGGAATCAACCCTGTGAGTGAGTGATATTCTCACAGGAAGACTTCTAGTCCCTCTTTGAAGAAGGCCCGTCTCTCTGAGAGAGACAAATCACCCCTATCTGACCTAGACATTCTGCCTCTGTCCCTCCAGGGACTACCCTAGTGAGGGAAGACCAGGGTGAAATCTGCATCACACTTTAGAATGTGTTTCTAGGTGACAGGAATACTTTTCTCCACAAAGGAGGGTGAGGTGACCGTCTGTGAGGGCGCCCCTGTCTGAAAAGAGGAATAGCACCTCCTCTGGTAAAGAACTATTTCCTTGAGAGGAGAAGGCCTTTCTTGGAGTGCTGCCGTATGCTGTCTCCTAAGGGGCCTGGCTGCTGTAAAAAGTTGTTCCCTCTGTCTTTCTGCAATTGATTCATGGAGAATAATTTTTTGAAAAGTAAGGCTTTCTCTTAAGTAGTAATCTATATTTCTATCCCTCTTTTTCTACCCTTGCAAACTGCCTTCCTTTTAGAGGAAAGGAATTGTATACTTGAGGGCCAGATTATCCCTTACTTGGGAATGTTGGGGCCAGGGAGAGCATGATACCATTTTTTCCCCCTCAGGGGAGGTAGGGAAGAAGAATAATCCACTTTTTGAGTTTGGGGGACTGGCTCCCTCTTGGCTTGGGAAAAAACTGGATCTGAGGCATCAGTAGTTTCTGGAAAAGGAAAGTCTCTATAGAGACTACACCCTGGAAGAGCACGTTCCCCGAAGACTTTGAGATCCCAAGGCCTTTGCCCTCAGGAATCTTTCCCCCAAACTCCCAGAATGTGAGGCTGTCTCCTGCCTGCATTTCTCATCTCTCATGAAAAAGACCCCTTTGTGGTGGAAGCGCAAGCTCCCTGGTGGTATGCTGGCACAGAGCTGGGCCCAGCTGGGCAGGAAGCAAGAAGGGAAGACAAGGAGAGATAAAGAGAGAGAGCAGAAGGAAGCTGATGTCTGGGATCCAAGGGGTTAATTCTTTCTGGCACTTCCTTAACCCCCAAGTTACCAACCATCATCCCAGAACAAGGAAGCAAGAAACAGGCAGGGGATAAATCAGTGCAGGGGCCCAGCAACCCCTCCTCTGGTCCTGATCCATCATCCCAGATAAAAGGTTTCTTCTTTCTTCATAGCTCCTTTCACCCATAGGGCAGCCTCAGTGACAAAGGAATGAGGAGGAAGTATTTGATTTGCCCCTCAGAGACAGGTAAGAGAGGCCTAGGCTGTGGGTGACATGATGGATCTGATCCGGGGATGCCTATCTTCTGTAGGGCTTTTCCAGAGGGCCATAATCCAAAGTGGTTCTGCTCTGTCCAGCTGGGCTGTGAACTACCAACCAGTGAAGTATACCAGCCTGCTGGCAGACAAGGTAGGCTGTAACGTGCTAGACACAGTGGACATGGTGGACTGTCTTCGTCAAAAGAGTGCCAAGGAGCTAGTAGAGCAGGACATCCAGCCAGCCCGCTACCATGTGGCCTTTGGCCCTGTGATCGATGGGGACGTCATTCCTGATGACCCTGAGATTCTCATGGAGCAGGGCGAGTTCCTCAACTATGACATTATGCTAGGGGTCAACCAGGGCGAGGGACTCAAGTTCGTGGAAGGGGTGGTTGACCCTGAGGATGGCGTCTCTGGCACCGACTTTGACTACTCAGTCTCCAACTTTGTGGACAATCTATATGGCTATCCTGAGGGTAAGGACACCCTGCGGGAGACCATCAAGTTCATGTACACAGACTGGGCAGACCGTGACAATCCGGAGACCCGCCGCAAAACACTGGTGGCACTCTTCACTGACCACCAGTGGGTGGAGCCCTCGGTGGTGACCGCTGATCTGCACGCCCGCTATGGCTCACCCACCTACTTCTATGCCTTCTACCATCACTGCCAGAGCCTCATGAAGCCTGCTTGGTCAGATGCAGCTCATGGGGACGAAGTACCCTATGTTTTTGGTGTTCCTATGGTAGGCCCCACTGACCTCTTCCCCTGCAATTTCTCCAAGAATGACGTTATGCTCAGCGCTGTCGTCATGACCTACTGGACCAACTTTGCCAAGACCGGGTAAGGAGAAAGTGGGGGTTGTGCTTCTTTGGGACCCCAGCATGTCCTCTCTTCTGTTCCTCTCTCTAAACATCTTCTGTCATATTTTTAAGAGATATTCCCCAAATCCTGCCTGGTAACCTCCTCACCCCCTTCCTACTTCCTCCTTTTGAGTCTTTCGTGCCATTTCTTCCCTCAAAAACTTTGTAGAGGCTCAGAACTAGCTAGCATTAGGACCAAGCAGCCCTGGGAGTTACTGGCACAACTATAGGATTCAAAGTTAGATGGTCAGAGGCCGAGTGAAATGGAAATAAAGTACATTCATAAAGAGCCTTTCAAGGGTTCTTGGAAAAATTGGGCTGAAAAGTTTGATGGATGCTTGGTAGCATGTGAGAAGAAAAAGCATCTATAGCATGACCTTACAGGTTGGGCACAGGGAAGGATGAGACCATTTCCATGATGCCATAGCAACAGGCAAAGCGGAGGGGCATGGACAGAGGAAAGGGCCCTGAATAATGATGGAAATGTGGGAATTTATGGGCTGGGGAAGAGGTTTAGAAGTGGGTGTGAGAGGAAGAATTCTGGGCCTTTTGCTCATCCAGGTAGAGTGGTGATCCCAGATTTCCATGTGGTATTTCAGGGATCCCAACAAGCCGGTCCCCCAGGATACCAAGTTCATTCACACCAAGGCCAACCGCTTTGAGGAAGTGGCCTGGTCCAAATACAATCCCCGAGACCAGCTCTACCTTCACATCGGGCTGAAACCAAGGGTCCGCGATCATTACCGGGCCACTAAGGTGGCCTTCTGGAAACATCTGGTGCCCCACCTATACAACCTGCATGACATGTTCCACTATACGTCCACAACCACCAAAGTGCCGCCCCCGGATACCACCCACAGCTCCCACATCACCCGCAGGCCCAACAGCAAGACCTGGAGCACCAAGCGGCCAGCCATCTCCCCTGCCTACAGCAATGAGAATGCCCAAGGGTCCTGGAATGGGGACCAGGATGCAGGGCCACTCCTGGTGGAGAACCCTCGTGACTACTCCACTGAATTAAGTGTCACCATCGCTGTGGGGGCCTCCCTTCTGTTCCTGAATGTTCTGGCCTTTGCTGCCCTCTACTACCGCAAGGACAAACGGCGTCAGGAGCCCCTGCGGCAGCCTAGCCCTCAGAGGGGAGCCGGGGCCCCTGAATTGGGAGCTGCTCCTGAGGAGGAGCTGGCAGCATTACAGCTGGGCCCCACCCACCATGAATGTGAGGCTGCCCCCCCCCATGACACACTGCGCCTCACTGCACTGCCTGACTACACGCTGACCCTGCGTCGCTCCCCTGATGACATCCCACTCATGACACCCAACACCATCACTATGATTCCCAACTCCTTAGTGGGGCTGCAGACATTGCACCCCTATAACACCTTTGCCGCAGGGTTCAATAGTACTGGGCTGCCCCACTCACACTCCACCACCCGGGTATAGCTCCAGCCCAGAGCACAGCCTATCTCCCGGCTCCTTCCCTCCCACACCCACAGACACATATGCACACACAGACACACACACAGAGAGACACGTACGGACATATATGTATACGCACGCACCCACACCCGACAGCAGACCCACCTGCACAAACATAGACAGATGTGGACATGCACCCTCATGTACAAAAACACAAATAAGGAAGTAAACCTGAACAAACCCTTCAAATAGGGACGCAGATGAGTCTTTGGAAAACCGAGGACCTGTGGAACAGCAGCTGAAGCCAGCTCCTTGAGCCTGATCACAGACACTTCTGGGGGCCTGAAAGCACCAGCTGGACACCCCCTTGGTGCTCGCCTTCCGCCTCTCTTGGAACTGCACCACCGACCAACTCCAGACTTGGGAGCTTTAAAGAGCAGAGTAGCTCTTTCTCCCCCAGACTTGGTCTTTTTTCTGGGTCTTGTTTTTGTTGATTTTAAAAATAATTTTGGAACAAATGCCTCTCCAACCCATGAGCGCAAAGAGGCTTCAGAAGGGAGGCTCCAGGCCTATGTCTGTCTGGGTGTGGAACCCCCAGTGCTCACACAATCCAGTCAAGGAACATGACCCCAGCCCCCAGGAAAGAAACGGATTCAAGCAAGACCATGGGGTAGAAGGAGGAAGGGGCTACTGCTGGATGGGATTGGAGGGCCATAGGGGAGAACTCTCCAGCCATCTCTGTGTCCCTGTGGAGGGCTGCAGAGACTGCAGGGTGACCTGATTTCCCCAAAGGCCAGGAGTACTGGCCTGGCTAGACCAGGGGACCCTATATTTGGTGAATGAGGTTCTGGTGGAGACCATGTCATTATTGGGCCCCTGGGTGTAATCTGGGTTCTGCCTCTGCCCTTGGGGTCACGGTATCAGAAATTCGCCCCATTTTCTTTACAGAGTCTCTTTTGTGTCTGTCATTTCTCTTTCAAAAAGGCAGTGTTTTTTGTTGTTGTTGGCTTTTTTTTTTTTTAAAGAAAAGTTCTTAAAACACTAACGGAAACTCATGGAGTTTGTCCTTTGTAAAAATTTTAAACACAGTGTCTTGATATAAAAATAAAAAATCCAGTTAGCACTCCCAACCTGCCTCCCTTGCACAGGCCTTGCCCCAACAGACCTCCCAGCAGGGCGCCCCTGCCGGCTAGGAATTCAGCCTGCTTCTGCATCTTGTGCCTTTAAGCTGAGTCAAGCCCGGGCTATACCCTGCTGGGCCCCACACACAGGTCTGTCCAATCTTAAGCAGGTTGCTGTCCCCATAACCCTCTGCCCCACCCAAAGCTCTGCTCTGGATTCCTGCGGCTCAAGCCTTCTCTCAGTACCCCGGGCCTCCTAATGAAATGGCAAAAAATAACACTTCCTCCTCCTCCTTGCCGCTTCAGCCTGTGCAGCCTCACACCACCACTGTGGCCACCCGCAGCTGCCACTGCCACCATCAGCACCATCTTGCCCCCATCCTGGACTGGGGGCTGGGAGGAGGTGTGACCTCTAACAGGTTGAAATTCTTTCTCATATCTGAATCCAGTGTGGCATCAGATATATGGACCCCCTGGCCTTGGGGGACTGACAGAGCAGGGGCCTCTTCCTCCCCAGGGATATTGTTTCCTGTTCTGTGAATTACAATTGGAGAAGTCACTGGAGCCCTGGGAGGGATTTCTTTCCAGGATTGAGGTCAGTGGCTCCTCATCAACATAGGGGGTGCTGCTGATTCAATGTGGCTCCACAGGGTTAGCATTATGGTAGTTTGCATTGTTCCCAGCCGCTCGAAGGACCAAACCAGGAGTCTGCTCATCAATTGTGACAGTTGGGCAGGGTTATTGCTGACACCTCAGAAACCAGGAATAGAATCCTTCAGAGTGACCCTGGTGAAGGGAGGGAGATGAACCAACACAACAGGATGATGTTCAGATGAGATGAGCACAAGATAGCACAAGGACCAAAACTGAGAACTAATAGACTACTAGGGTACATGGGAACAAGAGAGTTGCGCAGTGACTGACTTGACACGGTTTGGTTAAAAAAGAAAAAAAAAAAGAAGTAGGGGGAGGGTGATGGGGTGGGTCACAATTTGAATGAGTCCATAGTGTAGAACTGGTGTTCTCTCTTCCTCCTCCCTCCCTCCTCCTTCCCTCTCTCCCTAGCTCTCTCCCTGTCTTCTTTCCAAAACTAATGTGAACCCTAGCATATGATAACAAAAATATAGCATGCAGTTGCTGGGAAGTGATCTGAGTTTTCAAATTAGAAGTGACCTCAGGGGCATGTCATCCAACCCACTTATTTTATAACTGGGGAAATGGGCCCAGGAAAGGCTGACATCACAGTTAGTGTTAGAAGCAGACCCAGGATTCCATCCAATCATATATGACCTTTCCCATGGTCCTTTTCTTTTTATTTTTTTCAATATTTTATTTATTTATTTGAAAGAGAGAGAGAGCACGAGTGGGGGAGGTGCAGAAGGAAAGGGAAAAGCAGACTCCTCACTGAGCAGGGAGGGATGTGGGGCTCCATACCAGGACCAGGGGATCATGACCTGAGCCCAACACAGACACTTAACCACTGAGCCACCCAGTTGCCCTGGTCCTTTTCTTTTTAAGCCTTTTAAAGCATTCATGGTTCTACCCTTGGCCAACACATTTTCAGCATACATGGAAAAGCTGGAGAGGGTCTGGAGCGGAGCAAAATCAATGTGCCAAAGGACCAGGTCTTTTTAAATTGTTATTATTTAGAAAGGAAGAAGCTGATGAGGTAACATTCAATCATTGTGTGCCAAGTGTGCTATATCATCCTCAAAAATGTACCTCTTAAGTAAGGGCAGAGCTGATGATCTAGTCTCCATTTCTTCCGAGAATGAGAGAGGGGGAAAGAGTAAATTAGACACAAGAAAAGACTTTACTACACACTCAGTAAGCCCTCAGTAATAGTTGCCAAATTGAATAACTGGCTACTCAGGAAAGCCCTGGTGTTCATCCTTCTGAAAGCAGAGCACTGGATTACATGAACTTTTCAGGTCAATTCAGAGTCTCTGTTGTTATGATCCTGTGATTGTTCCATCACAGATATTACCAAACTGGACCTCATCTTCTGGTGTGTGTGTGTGTGTGTGTGTGTGTGCCCATGAATTAGGAGACTCTCTGTGTGAAAAGGCTTTAGATATTCTAGAGTTCTCCTCTAAGAGCTCAAGGTTCTGCAGCAAACACAGGTCCAATCCTGTTTGGGCCCATCAATGGGAGATTACAGTTGGCCTTTCACACCTTTGGAAGGCCTAGGTGGAAGAGGTAGCCTGCAAGACAGGCAAAGTTTCAACCTAACTGACAGTCGGTCCTGTGACCAGCTAGCCTGAATATTCTCAAACCAATTACTGACCACCAGCCCTGAGCCCCAGCTGCAAAGCCCAGCTCCTTGTTTGAAGAGATGTGGAAGCTATCCTTGTATTTTATTTCACATTGCAAAAATCATTCCTGCCTAGACTGGGTCCAGCCTGCATCTTTAGATTTATCTGGTTTCTATATTAGTCCTTTGGGGAGCTAGACACAGCTATCTTGGGATCTTGTGGTGTGTGTGAAGGGCCAGAGGTTGATCAATGTGCAAATCTCCATAGGAAGTGAGTATAATGATCAGGACTGGAGGCCAGGCCCTATGCTAGTTTATATCCTATGAGGGATAGAAGACAGCCCCTTTGGGGTGCATACTGTCAGGAATACAAGACTGAACTATGATAAAACGAACGAAGTGCAGAATCTAGCATGTGACTTCAATTGCATGGTAAAGGTTAAAGGAACTAGAGAAATCACAAGAAAGGCTACGGAGGGATTTGAATGTCCTGCTGGAAGAGTGGGCATTTCAAATTAGGAGACAAGCCTCAGGCCAAGCATGGAGACGAGAAGGTCTAGGTATGCTCCAGATGCAGTGAGGGCAGAGGGTTCAAGTTAAAGGGCAGAACATCAGATGCGAAAGCCAGGTGGTGGAGGTCTTCATACCAGCAGAAGACTTGGAGTGTTGCTGCATGTGATAGGACACCTTGCTTTTGTCTTTTGCCAATGGCTTGAGGGAGAGAAAACAGCCCCCTCCCAGCTTCTCTTTTGTTTCTTCTCTTCTGTAAGGAGAAGGGTTTTCAGAGTAGAAAGGACAAAGTGAGCACCACGGAGAGACTCCTAAAAGGGAGTTCAGGCAAAGAGAGCTTTCAGCTGCTCTTACCTGAGTAACTCTGTCTCAGAGTCTGGGTCAATAAACAGCCCAGGGCATTGCAAGGACTTGTAGCTCAAGTTTGAAAACCCCATGGAGAGCGGAGAAGATGCACACTGCAGCTTAGAGACTGGCAGACGTGACTCCACACTCTAAAAAATGGGAAGACATGAATCCCACAAGTTACAGATCAATACGTTTGATATTGATTGAGGGTAGGATTCTAGAACAAATGATTAAGAGGGTGGCTGGTGAGCACTTACAAAAGGAAGCGACACTCTCTCAGCCCCTGTGTAGAGTCACGACAAACAAGTAACTCCCCGCTCAGCTCATTTCCTTTGCTAGGGTGTCTGGTTGGATAGATGAGGAGAAGGCTAGACCTATGATGTACCTGGAGTTCAACAGAACATCCTCTCATGATACTTGGGACACCATGGAGAAATGTGGGGTGGGTAAAGATAAACCTAGGCTGGTTATTAGCTTGTTGAACGACTGCATACCACAGGGTTCTGTTTTACTGTCATCAGATCAAACCTTAAAATTACATACAGCTGGGAGAGAGAGCCAAAAGGTGAGATGACAGAATCAGGTTTCACAGAGATGTCAAGAGGTTGGTGTAATGGACTCACTACAAGATAATAAAAGTTCATAGGGACAAAGATAAGGTCATATATTTGAAGTCCCCCCAAAATTTTTTAAAGATTTTATTTATTTTTTCATGAGAGACACAGAGAAAGAGGCAGAAACATTGACAGAGGGAGAAGCAGGCTCCCTGCGGAGAGCCTGATGCAGGACTCAATCCCAGGACCCCAGGATCACAACCTGAGCCAAAGGCAGATGCTCAACCCCTGAGCCCCCCACAGGTGCCCTGCCTTGAAGTCCCAAATTTAACATTGCAAATGTAGGATGTGAGAGATGCGCTTAAAGGAGTTTTGGGGTAAATGAAAGCTCATTGTGAGTATGGGTAAGAAGCATGGTTTGGTTGCTACAGAAAGTATTGTGACCTTGGGCTGTATTAGTAAGGGTATAATGTCCAGAATGAAGGAGGTGATCATCTTGTGTTACTCTGCACTGGTCAGACCATACTTGAGGACCTGTCTGTTCAGTGCAGGCATCACACTTTAAGCGAGATGTCAATGAAAGTATGTGCAGAGAAAAGGTGGTGAGAATAGTGTGGGAACTGGCAAATCCCAAGAGATGTGTCCATTGTCAGCAAATCATGACTGGGCTCATGGGGACGAGGAAGCTGCGGATTTGTCCTGTGTATGACTCCAAGGGCTCTGAGAGCTAATGGATGAAAGTGAGAGAAAAGCAGATTTTGGTTCGACATCAGAAAGGTGCTTTTTCCCCTCTTTTTTTAAAAATGAAAAAGTGACAATAAAAGTTTCAGCTTATGACTCCAGCCTCGTTGAAGTCCTTGTAGAATTTATTACCAACAATTTTAAAAACAGAGGAGAAAAAAGATTCTAAGCTCATTGCTTAGTCTAATATAAGCACACTGCTGTTTTTAGCAAGAACTTTTTAATGACTGGTAGTACTCTCTGGAATTGGAATGGGCTCTCCCAAAAGGTAGGCTGCTCCAGAGATAATCAAGCAGCCACTGGACAACCACTCCATATGGATGATGTAAAAGCAATGGAAGCATCTGATAAAGGTTCAAACCAGATGACCAGGGTTACTGAGATTTTATGATACTTGATCTGGTAGGTCTCATGGTAAAGTATTCAGGAAAATATTTCTGGAGCCTAGATGCAGGGCAGGCTGGAGGAGGAGAGACTAGAAACAGAGATAAGAACAGGTTAAGAGGTACCTACTCTGAAAGCTAAGACTATTTTCACCTCCAGCAACCCCCCCATCTCAAAATTACAGTGTCAAAAGCAGC